CCTGTTCGTGCTGCTAAAATACTGTGCAGTTTTCACCCTTGTTTGACACCTCTGTACTTTGTTCCCCTCCTACTCCATGCTGTTTACAACCCAGGCAGCTCCTGTTAATTTTTTTTTTTTAAGATTTAAGATTTTAAGACCTGTTTCTAATTTCACAGCTTTTATATAACACTGCTGGGACATACATGTTCTTACTTACCCAGATCATGGTTTTCAGTGGTTTGCAGACAATGAGTTCAAGAGCATACCATCAATAAGGCGTATGGCTGATGCCATGCCTCAGTGACGGCAAAGCAGGCAAGATTCAGTGGGGCCTTGAGTGGGGCATGTTTTCAAGAATTGATCATTGAGAAGAAAGCAATTAATCTCTTCCAATGGCAGCTCTCTCTCTTTTTTTAAGGAAAGGAGTCTGTGCTTTTTCCTGGGCATACGTTAACTATCAACTAGAGCAGAGACAAATGGAGCACCCGAAGTTAAAAATCTAAATATACCCTACTGAAGTTTGACCTCACTCATGGAGATTTTGTGATCATTTAGATGTGAAAGTTTTGCTTTGTGCCACCAGTTAGAAGTATTTGCTAAGCTGTTAATATGAAACCGACCAAAGGTTCCTTAAACCTTTAGATATTTTTGGTTAAAGAGAGTAACCCCTTTGTCAAAGTGTAATTTTCAAAGGTTAAATATATGACACACAAATATAGAATGAACATGTAGCAAAGATTGATTTAATAAATTAATGAGGGAGCCAGCAGGATGGCAAAGCTGGTTCAAAGGAGAACGAAAGGAACAGGTTATAAAGGCATTCAAGAAGGAATGTCAGAATAAGATGTCAGGGTTAGGTGTAAACTGATTAGCAGTCCAATGGGACAACAAAACCTGACAGAAATCATTTACATCTCCACTGGACAAAAATCTATAAGTTACCCTTAACTTTATAGGCTGGACCTTTAATCCATCGTAAAGAGCTTGTCAAACACAAAGCCAGTGCCCTGAGTAATGAAATAATCCTTGTGTGAGCTGTTAATGCTCAGCAGGACATTGGAAGAACATGCTCCTTTCCCATACCTTGTTTACAAGTTTGGGTTAATTTTTCTTAACTTCTTATTATCTGAGTGACCTTCCACTTACATGAGGTTCCTGGAGTAGTCGGATTTGTAGAGATAGAAGTAGAATGGTCCTTGCCAGGGACTGAGGGAGGGAGAATGGGGAGTTAGTGTTGAATGGGGACAGAGTTTCAGTTTTTTATTTTATTTTTATTTTTTTTCTTCAAAGATTTTATTTATTTATTTGACAGAGAGAGACACAGTGAGAGAGGCAACATAAGCAGGGGGAGTGGGGGAGGGAGAAGCAGGCTTCCCGCTGAGCAGGGAGCCCGATGCGGGGCTCGATCCCAGGATCCTGGGATCGTGACCTGAGCCGAAGGCAGACGCTTAACGACTGAGCCACCCAGGCACCCGAGTTTCAGTTTTTTAAGATGAAAAGTGTTCTGTGGGTGGATGGTGGTGCTGCTTGCACACAATGCAAATACTTAATACCACTGAACCGTACATTGAAAAATGATTAAGATGGCAAGTTTTATGTTATGTGTATTTTACCACAAGTTTAAACAGTTAAATGAGCTGACCACATAGGTATATGAAGAAAGACTTAACAATTCTTCATCCTCATCCTCCATCCTCATTACTAACTTAGTAATCCTATGTTTGTGCTAACTTTTCCTTATTCATAAAAACATACGTGGACCTTCTTTTAAAAAGGAGGTTATTAAAATTCTTTACTCTGTGACATTTGTTTCTTTCACTTAAGGATATATCAAGGACGGGCCTCTGGGTTATAGATCTTGATCTAATCCATTCTCTTTAACACCAGCTCCATAGACTGGTTGTGCCATAATTTATTCAACTGTTGTTCTACTGATGGAAGTTCAGTTGTCTCCAGTTGTGTTTTGTTTTGTTTGCCAGGATAAACACTATTGGTATAAAAATGTTGTAATACAGGACAGTGAAGCTGAAGGCCAGGATCTCAGTGGTGACAACAAGAAGGCAGAGGACGGAATTCTTCAAAGGAATGTTTTGTTGGGAAAATGGATTGGATTTAGGGGCGAGTTGAAAATTTTGGAGCAAGAGCAGAGAATGAATAGTGCTGGCGTGTTACTGAAAGAGGGAGTTGAAGAAGAACAAGGTTATAGAGGGATGGCACAGAAGCAAGAGGATAATGTTTGTTTCTAAAATGCCAGGCTTGGGGGACCTGGGGGGGCTCATTGGTAGGCAATTGATTTTTGGTTTTGGGTCAGGTCATGATCTCACAGTCACAAGATCAAGCCCCTTGTTGGGCTCTGTGCTGAGCGTGGAGTCTGCTTGAGATTCTCTCTCTCCCTCTCTTTCTGCCCCTTCCCCGACACATGTACGCTCCCTCTCTCTCTCTCTCTCTCTCTCTCAAAAAATAAAAATAAAAAAAATAAAATGCCAGGCTTAAGATAGGTCTGCTGTCTGTGCCCACTGGGCAGCGAAAAATAAGGATCTAAGGCTTGGGGAAAACGTCACAGATAGAGACATTGATCATAGTTGATCATAGACAAAGTCATAGTTGAAGCTATGGGAGTAGGGGAGATCTGTTCCTAGGGCAGCCTTATTCTAGAGGAAGGAGGTAGCGTTCATGGCAGTTACCTGTGTTTAAGAGTCTGGCTAGGGAGACTGAGACACTGTGATTCGAGAAGGAGGAGGAATGGTGAGTGAAGACCTTTAATGAGCTCTGCGTCTGAGACGTTCTTCAAACGGGGATTTCCTTGTGTATAAACCACCAAAAACAATGGTACAATTGGATAAGCCAATTTGGGCCCCTGCTTTGAACTTATGGACTAGGCCAAATGAAATCTCAGAGGGGCAGAGTTCAATTGTAGTTTGACAACTCTCAACAGGAGTTACAAGGTCATTTTTTAAGACTATATTTGGTTTATATAAACCAGGACTTAAAGGAGAGGATACGTCAGTGTCACAATCCTGTGTGAAGCAGAACGTCCGCCCAGAGGTACCCGCGGAAGCAGCGAATAACAGGGAATCTCTAAAACATTACAGTGAGCGCTGCTGCTGTCTCCACAATCTACATTAGCTTAAAAATGACCCTGTTGCCACCAGATCTTTTTATAAAGGATCTGTGAACTTTTAAACATACCCATTGATTGGAGGGGGCAATAAAGGCAATTACTGGTAATCCAAATGCATTATTTTGTCCCTTCTCATGGCTTTAAGAAATACCCATGTTTGGAAAAGCAACAGAGTCATCAAAACTGCTGATGTCATTGAGGAGTGACATCCCGGGGAGCCTGCCAAGTTTGACGCTGGATTCAACTTAATTCACACGCTGTGTTCTTAGTCATACCCTAGATACCAGAAGAAGAAGAATCCAAAGAAGTAAAGATGAGGACTCTCACCATAAAGTGCTTTGTCATCTTGCGGGGAAATAAGATATGTTCTCTGGGTATTCTGTGACCCCCACCACCACCAGGGTTGTGTTTGTTGCTGTTGAAGGAATTTGCAGTCCGAGTGCAGTCAGTCCATACCTGACTTCCCCCACCTGCAGGACCCATTTGTTAAGGAAGAGGCAGGTGTGTGCACAGTGGGGGCACTGGCAGGTTAGAGGAGGCAGCAGGTGATGGACGAGCTGTTTTCCAGGTAATGTGATCAGAGTCGTATTTATAGGGTGGTCATTTTCAGGCGTGATGGACTCAGGCCATCATCTTGGGTTACTTGATTCTAAATTGCAAAGAAGGAGGTCATAGCTGTGGAGTGTTGATGTAAACAAAGGCTGATGAATCCACAGTGGAAGGCTTGTTTGTAGGTTCAGTGTCACCTTGGATATCTCTAATGGCTTGCAATAGGGAACACTGCCAACAGGGGGTGGGAGAGTTGTCAAAGTATTCAGTCAGTACCTTACTGTGCCCGGCACCAGATCATCCAGAGGCACTGATGAGTCACGGGAACTAATTAGAGGAACACTGGAGGTGTTCCAGTAGGATTCTTAGGAAAGCAAGTTAGTGGTGGAGCTCATCTTCCCCCTGCCCACTGGGTGCCTAGTCCAGCTGTTTGCAGGAAGAATCAGGAAGAATCCGGGATTCTTTGCCTAAGGCCCTTAGGTGTATAGGAGTCACCCAAGCCTGGGCATCGGGAGGGCAAGACTGGAAGTTCCTAGCTGTGTCTGCTGCTTCCCAGTCCTTTGGCAGTGGAAACGCGTTATTCTCAGGGTCTGCCTTAGGCTTTAGTTTTGGACAAGTTGTTGTGCCCTCCTCTGGTCTTGTCTGAACATGTAGGCCACACCCAAGCCCCTGACACGCTGGGACCTTTGCACTATCTCCATAATCCACAGCTGCACAGTTTCGAAAGAGACACCAAAATCCAGACGCAGCAAGGCATTCCCTTTTGCAGGTACTGAGGTCCCGAATGACAGTTTTCTCTTGGACACGTTCCCTTTTCTTTCCTCTTTTGTCTGTTCATTTTTATCTCTCCCTATAATATATAAATAATTGGCTTGTCCTATTTGCTGCCCACAGAGAAAATTAAACGTCTGAATTTTTCATAGCTATGGGAAAGTGTTTCCAGAGTGGGGAAAAAATGGACATTGGGCATTTCAGCTCCTGCTTTCGGTATAGTGGGAATTTATTACTCAGCTCAGTAATAGTCTCGGCCCAAACCAAGTAGTTGTGTGGGCAAGCAGTGGATACCTTTCCTAAATCACACTGCCAGGGATACCTTTGTTCATAACCGAGACAGCACATACCAAGGGCATCTTTCCATCAAAGACTGATTATCTCTGAATCTTAGACATACCACAAAAGTCACTGAGCCCCAGCCAATGGATTTTCCTTGTATGAGATATTGCGTCGCTCCCAAAAGGAGGGAAACAGAAGGGGAGGGAGGCAAGAGAGAACTCAGAGCCCAACAATAAATAGCTCTTTGTACCAGTCCCCTCCCCTCACCCCAAGCCACTGAGATCATGGAGTAAGTTCCCAGCATGCAGGGGAAGGCAGCGCTGCCCAGCAGCTTAGCAGATGTTGACCAAAGGCGAACTTGTCTTTCCACAGTGTGTGGCTGTGACCTGGCACAAGGGGGCTTCTTCATAAAGAACGGGGAGTATCTCTGCACCCTGGACTACCAGAGGATGTACGGGACACGCTGCCATGGCTGTGGGGAGTTCGTGGAAGGAGAGGTGGTGACTGCCCTGGGCAAGACTTATCATCCCAACTGCTTTGCCTGCACCATCTGCAAGTAAGTGGTGCCTTCCCCCAACAGAGAAGTGCTGGGTTCTGCTCTTGAAGCCTGGGATGTACACCTTTTGTCTTGAGTTGCACTGTCTTGAAATATTCTTTTTCTGATGCGCCCTTAGATTTTTAAAAAAATGTTCCTATTGTTTTATCAGTCTTAGTCAAGAAGTAATTCAGTTGGGAAACTTTTTTTTTTTTAAAGATTATTTATTTATTTATTTATTTGACAGGGAGAGACACAGCGAGAGAGGGAACACAAGCAGGGGGAGTGGGAGAGGGAGAAGCAGGCTTCCCGCGGAGCAGGGAG